CTAGGTGGCCCCAGGTAGAACACAAGTGGCAGCTGACCTTGGTAAGCACCTCTTCAGAGGCCCCAGAGCCAGTGCAACTAGTGGATATCTTCAGACCACACTGAACCACCACCACACAACCACCTCCACAAGCAACACTCAAAGGGTAAAACCAGTGAGCTCTGCTGAAATTAAGTCATATGCTCAGTGAGACTGGCCCCTGCACCTCAAATCCTCCAAGTAGTTCCTGCCAGTCCTTCCAGATGATTTGCCTAGGTGTAAATTCCTCCCATTGAGGTCCCAACAGAAATTAAGGCTCAACTGCAATGAGAGGGTACACAAAGTCCACACAGCTGGAGTCACCAGCTTGGGCGATCAGGAGGCTGTGCCACTGGACCTCGAAGGGCACCTACTATATTAGGCCACTCTACCAAGCTTTGGAATGTAGCAGTTCTGCCTAATACATGGAGACAAACACAGGAAGGCAGCTAAGATGGGGAAACAAAGAAAGGAACATGTCTCCAATAGACAAACAGAATAAAACTCCAGAAAAAGAACTAAACAAAATGGAGAAGGGTAATCTACCAGATGCAGAGTTCAAAACACTGCCTTTAAGGATGCTCAGTGAACTTAGGGGAAGAGTACATAAACTTAGTGAGAACTTCAATAAAAAGATAAAAAACATAAAAAAGAACCAGTCAGAAATGAAGAATATATTAACTGAGATGAAAAATACATTACAGGGAATCAACTGTAGAGTAGAGGAAGCAGAAGATCAAATCAGAGATTTGGAAGATAAGGAAGCAGAAAATACCCAATCAGAACTGCAAAAAGAAAGAATAATAATAAGAATAAGAATAATCCCCCCAAAATGAGAGTAGTATAAGGAGCCTCTGGGACAACTTGATATGTGCAATGGAATATTACTTGGCCACAAAAAGAACAAAATCTTTCCATTTGCAAAAGCATAGAAGGACCTAGAGGGTGTTATCCTAAGTGAAATAAGCCAGTCAGAGAAAGACAAGTACCATATGACTTCATTTATATGTGGCATCTAAAGAACAATATAAACAAACAAAACAGAAACAGATTTGTAGCTAAAGAGAACAGATTGATAGTTACCAGAGGGGAGGGGAGGGGGTGACCAGGTGAAAAGCTGAAGGGACCGAGAAGCACAGACTGATAGCTACAAAACAGACATAGGCATGTAAAGCAGGGCATAGAGAATGTAGTCAATAATATTGTAATAACTATATATGGTTCCAACTGATACTGGAACTATCAAGGGGAACACTTTGAGAAGTATATGATTACCCAACCTCTATGCTGTACACCTGAAACTAATACAAAATAATATTGAATGTAACCGATAATTGAAGAAATTTTTAAAAAGGGAGTCCCCATAAGGCTATCAGCTGATTCATCAACAGAAACTTTGCAGGCCAGAAGGGATTAATAAGAAGTATTCAAAGTGATGAAAAGCAAGGACCTATAATCAAGATTACTTTACACAGCAAAGTTATTATTTAGAATTGAAGGACAGATAAAGAGCTTCACAGAGAAGAAAAAGATAAAGGAGTTCATCACCACCAAACCAGTATTAAAAGAAATATTAAAGGGTCTTTTTTAAAAAAAAAGAAAAATGATATAAAATATGAAAAATAAATTGGCAATAAATATGCATTTATCAACAATTACTTTAAATGTAAATAGATTAAATGCTCCAATCAAAAGACATATGGAGGCTGAATGGACAACAAAACAAGATACTTACATATACTGTCTTCAAGAGACTCACTTCAGATGGAAAGACATACATGGCTGAAAGTAAAGGGATGGAAAGAGATGTTTCATGAAAATGGAAACAAACAAATAAAAGGTGTGGCAACAATACTTGTAGCAGACAAAATAGACTTTAAAACAAAGGCTAAATAATAAGAGATGAAGAAGAACCTAGCAATGCCACTTCTGGGTATTTATTCAAAGAAACCCAAAATACTACAGTGAAAAGACAAATATATTTATATGTTCATTGCAGCATTATTTACAATAGCCAAGATGTGGAAGCAATGTAAGTGTCCATCAAGAGATGAATGGACAAAGAAAAACTGGTGCATATATACAACGGAGTATGACTTAGCCATGAGAAAGAATGAAATCTTGCCATCTGCAACAACATGATGGACCTAGAGGATGTTGTGCTGAGTGAAATAGTTCAGATAGAGGAAGACAACTGCCATATGATTTCACTTCTAAAAAAAGAAAATAAACACACAAGCAGAACAGAAACAGACTCATAGATACAGAGAACATTTTGACAGTTCCCAGATGGGAGGAGCACTGAGGGGATGCATGAAAAAAGTGAAGGGATTAAGAAGTACAAATTGGCAGTCACAGAATAGTCATGGGGATGTAAAGTACAACATAGAGAATATAGCCAATGATACTGTAATTACTATGTATGGTGTCAGATGGGCACTAGATTTATTGGGGTGATCACTTAGTAAGTCATATGTCTAATCACTGGAATGTACACCTGAAACTAGTATAATATTGTATGTCAACTATAATTGACAAATAAAAAGTTATTTAAAGTCAAAAAAGAAAAAATTATAATAAAAAGAAAATAGGGATAGAGAGAATTTTACAGGAACTAAAAAATGAAAGAACAGGAGAAAGAAGGGGAAAAAAGGAAGTAGGGAGGAGGGGTGAAGGAGGGAGGAAGAGAGGAAGGAAGAGGGAGGGGTGCTGAGCAAACCAGTCTGGGTTCATATCTAGAAGTAGGGGCAATTAAGCAAGCAAGTCCCTGAACCTCAAGGTTGAAGCTAGAGGAGGAGCCAGTGGAATCAAGGGGAAAGAAAAAAAGGAAGACTCTGGAAGCCTCAAATTAAAGCTTTCCCAAGATAAGCAGATTAAATGGGACTTGCATTAGTACTTAACCTGCTTCTGGTTCTTCACCTTAAGTGTTTGTCACAGTGCAGTTGCAACTTCACTTGTACAAGCTGAGTTGATTGTATCTTGTCCAACTACAGGGATTTAGTTAAGAGAACAACTGAAAAAACCTGAAGGGATGAAAACTATGGATCTTGGGCTCATAATTGCTAAAGCAAAAATGCAGCTGGAAGTCCCAGGGAGCCTCAGACCCGTGGCTTATCTGTGGGGCACCATTTTACCAAAGTTTTTGTTGTCTGGAGACTCTGCAGTGAAGATCAAGGCAATGGGGCAGTAATATTTAACACAAAATTGATCAAAGAACTACACTGTGCACACTAATATCTTGATTATCTGAACAGCACGTACAAGCTGTATTAGTTACCACCAACTTAATGGCTTAATATAACACATTTATCATCTCACAGTTTGAGTGGGTCAGGATCCTACAAAAGCACATTTAAACTGGGTCATCTGCTTAACGTTCCACAAACCAGTTAAGGTGTCTTCTGGCTTGCATTCTCATCTGGAGGCTTGACTGGGGAATAATCCTTTTCCAAGGTCACTTAGATGGTTGATGGAGTCCATTTCCTTGGGTCTGTAGGACTGAAGACCTCAGCTTTCTGCTGACTCTTGGATAGAGGCTGCTTTCAGCTCCTAGAAGCCACCTACACACAGTTCCTGCCAGGTGGACTTCCCGAACGTGGCCACTCACCTCTTCAAGCTAGAAAGGGCAGTCTCTAGAGAGAGTTTGCTAGCACAACAGAGTCTTTTCTAATGTAATGTTTTCACAGGAGTGACATCCATCACCCTGCTGCATTTGTTGTTCACAAGCAGGTCACAAGTCCCAACTGCACTCCAGAGTAGGGGATCCTACAAAGGTGTGAACACCAGGAGGTGGTGGGAATCATGGAGCCACCTTCGAGTCTGTCTGTCACACAAAGACACCTTTGCTGCTTCTGAATTTTTTAGTTAAAATTAACCATGAATATAATCCTTAAAAATTGTAGTGTGAAATAAATAATAAAATAAAAAATAAATAAATTAAATAAATTAAAAGTAAATAAAAATGTAAAATCTAAACCTGGAGTATACCTAATGTCAAAAACTGTGACCTTCTCACTACAAAGTTATATGTATATACCATGGATTAGATCCACTATAAACTGTGTTTCCAACATTTCTGAGCAAATCCCTAGAATGAAGAGTAATCAAAGGCCTTGGAGTCAAGCAGTTTCTAGTCACATATGGGATGTAGGAATATGGGTAGTTTTGTTCTCAGTTCCAGCATCATTTAAGGGAGGTTAATTTTACCACTTGTATTAATGACTTTTGCAGTTATTCTGGGGACCAAAGGAGACATCGATTACTCAACAAATGTTGGTTCCTGGCATCGCTGTCACCAACATGTTTATATGGAACGAAAGCACGGACGTTGAGAGAAGGGAGGAGATGGAAATCCTTGAGGAAGTTGTGTGCTTCCCTGGCCCTCACCAACCCACCGTGCAGTTTAATCCACCAAGCAAGACAAAACTTCACGAATTTCATAGGAGGAAAAAATGCATTTGATGTTTGTCTTAAATTGCATGCATTTGGTTTATTCCTGATTTGAGCTTTTTTTGCACTTTAAGTTATTTTCTGTGATTGTCTATAATCTTGATCCAATTGCTTTTTTGAGATGTTCATTGATTTGAATCCAGAGATCAACCTTTGTCTGTCCTAAAGATCCAATATTCCCACACCCCTCTGGTCGTGCATTTCATTTAGTGTACGATGTGTCTCTGTGGTGAGGGTGGGGTGGGGAGGGTAGATTAAGAGAGTGAGGGAAGATTTACAGTAGTTTTTCAATCCAGTAGTCATCTCCATCGCTCTTTACCTAGTGTAACAGCGAATACCGGGTTTATCTGATAACTGTGAGCAGTGTTCACTTCCGAAAACTGTCTTTGCAAACTTTGTCCGCAGCGGCCTCAGGGATTTATCAGCAGTCCTGTAAAGCGGTGGCCACCCGGCTTGCTCCCTGGGGTTTGCGCTGCCCAGGCCCAGCGCCGCGGCCGCCACCCCGCCCTCCCCGCCGCGCGTCCTTGCTCGGCCCCAGTCTGCGCCGCTGCGCCGCTCCGGAGCTGCCTTCTGTCACCGCGAGCCCGGGCGCGGGGAGGGAGCCGGCCCGTGGGCGGCGAGGAGCGCGGGAGCCCGGAGCTAGGGGCTTCCGCACCGGCCACCCGGGACCAGCGCGCGGGGCTGGGAAACTTCTGCGGGCACGGGCACGAGGCGGGAGCTCTGAGCAAGGCCGGGGAAGAAAAGGTAAGAAGGGGACCGTGGGGCCGCAGCGGCCGCTGTCTCCCCGGAGCTGTTCGCAGCCGGGCACCTCGCAGCGTGGGACAACTTTGCCAGCGCGGCTTCGGCCCTGGCCCCGCCCCGACACCGGGACCTCGAGGCCGCCGACCCCGGGAGCGCCGGCGCTCCGCCGCCCTGGGTTCCGCGCCGCCCGCACCTCCGCCCGGCGCCGGGCCCCACTCAGGCCAACTGCGAGCCCAGAGTCCGGGCGGCGCCACGCGCAGCTCGGCGGCTGGGGGGCTGGGGGGCTGGAGCGGTCCTTAGAAGCGAATCCACCACCCTAGATCTTGTTGGCGCTGCTCTTGCCCCAGGCATTTTTGGAATCCGAAGAGAAAAGGCCGGATTTTCAAGCAACAAAAGCTTGTCCAAGGGGACCCCACAGCCTTATGTTTCACCTTGGGGAAGTCGTGCAGTGACTGGGAGTTTCCTGTCCCACGTCTGTAATGGCCGTGACCAGGATAGGGGGGCTCTGATTTGGGGCAAGAGAAAGCTGCCTCATCAAAGGGGACACTGACCCTTTTTCTCTATTTGGGGATCCCCCTGCCAAAATAAGGGAGGGAGGGAGGGAGGGGGGAAAGAAATTTGAAAACCACTGAATTACCTCATCACCAACTCGGTTACAGAGGTATAAGGGTCTGTATTTTAGGAAAAGATTAAAGACACAAAATCAAAATACAGTAATAGCGCTATGGCAAAAAGAAATGTTTTAACCAGGAGATATTTGCAAAAAGTAAAAAAAAAAAATTCTATGCAATAATAAATGGAAAAGTAGAATTAGAAGCCCACTTTTGAACATAATTTAATTTGATTTACTCAACTCTTAGAATGTGACAGTCTTCCTTCCCAACTTTTTACTGTAACTCTTGTAGTAAAGTATTTTGAATTTGCAGGCTTACACATTGTAGTTGGTTGGGTTTTGTCGCTGCCTTAAAATATTTTTGCTCTCTGTCCATACTAAGGTTTGGTGGCTCTTTTCTTTTCTGTTATTTTTGATACTGGGGACTGTTGCACGTATATACCCCTGGTGTGACAGTACGGTAACTTGGCATTCTTCTTTATGGCAATAGAACACCAAACAAGAACTACGTGAAAACAAAATATAAACAAAACGAAAATTGGACCTCTTTCCACATTTGCAAAATGAAGAGGTCTTGCTGATCCCAGGTGAATTTTAAGTCTCTTTTCGATCCCAAATTCTTTTGGAATACTAACATTAATTGAACTCAAGAATAAGACTTTAATCATCCTAAACTTTTATACACATATCCTGGGAGAAACAGTTGAGTTTCTTTCACCTAATCAGCCTCTCAAAAGAGCTGAATCACTGTGTATCCTGTACTTCTAAATGGTGATATTCTATGCTATTAAATAAAAATGTGTCATGGGAAACCAAAATCCCATGCCTCTTACCATAAGACTGACTAACAGAGCTGACACACCGGAGCATTCATGTCTGCTTACTTTGCAGTAGTCTGCAGGAAAGACCAAGAGTGGTTATTGAAGCATATGCTATTGTATATGAGCATAGCAACACGTGAGCAACTTAGCTGTCAGGAAGTTTCAAAATTGCTTTGGAAAATATCCGCGATCGGTTTACAAGCCTGCAAGTTGCAACTGAAATTATTTTTTCTAATTAAAGTTACTGGTCAGCTGGGATTGTGACTTATAGAGAGTATATAAGAATTTACAAAAGTATATTGAATCATTAAAGATTTTTATAGGGGGAAATATTTCCTTTACCTAAGGAAAATGTCTTAAAGTGAAAGGTGTAACAAGTATTTTCTAAATGAAATAACCAAAAGTTTCTAACTTAAAGTCCCTGTAGTAATGCTGGATCCTCGTGAAACCCAGAGAATTCAGGGAGTAATTTTTGGAGACCCGAAGTGAGACATCAGAATAATAACCCCTAGTGAATCTCACATGCACTCTGAAATTGGGGGGTGGGAGAGTTTAAGTTAATGAAAGAGAAGCAGCTGACCAAGCCTATGGAAGAATCTTCATCTCTCCGAGCCTGTTTTCCACTCGGAACAATGCTGAGAACACTACAATAATTAGGTGGCAGAGTTGCTGTGACTCCTAACTGGGCCAGTGTGTGGAAGATGAGTGCCTGGCACATGGTCCGAGCACAGCCAATCCTAGTTTTCCCTGTCCTCCTTGGGAGGTGTTTGTTTATTGACTGAACTAACTGTAAGATAAACAGGTTACAGTTTTTACTTTTAGTTTTAAGAAACTCTGGCAAAATGTTGATAATTGTTGAATCTGGGTAATGGGTATGTGGGGATTTACTATGCATTATATCATCTCTGTTTTTGTGCATGTTTAAAAATATTCATCAGAAATAATTAAGTGTGGTTCTGAGAAGAACACATTATAAGATACATTTCTAATCTTGCATTTCATTTTAAATTGAAACTTTTAAAATTATTCTATGACTGGAAGGGTAAACACAAGTATTTGTATATGGGGAGTGGTGGGCGTGGAATGGAACTGGAGAACCATCCATGGTGATCTTCCATTTTTTTGGAATTTTTTATTATAAAAAAGACCTAAGAATATGAGAATGTTGATGTTTGTGAATTCTGGTTGTTGGGCTCATAGGTTCTTATTATATTCTTTGAAATCTTTGCATTTAAAAAATTTTTAATTAATGTGAAATCACTTTATTGTTTTATAAAATTATAAAGAATGCAAATAACACAGATATGCACTTGAAAAGTCAAAGTGGTATCCTAGTATCCACAAATAGCCATCCTTAACCTTAAGTGCAGACCATTCCGTATGCCTCTCTTTGCATACAAACAAATAGAAGGAGGCAAATGCATTAATATGCAATGTGCTACTACTCCAGGGGCACTTCAAATATTTTGGGTTTCTTTGTTTTTGATATTTGATCAAAGTTCTAAATAACAAACTTGTATTTTGATTTTTAAGACTTTAGACTGTAGTTCGAAATATAGTAATTATTTAAACTTAGTATGCAACAACTGACTTTACATGTTTTAGGTAGCTTACATTTATTTGTACCTAAGAAATATTTTTAGCTATTTAAACTGTACCTCATCAATTTGAAACTGGGCTTGGTGTCACCATTTGAATTTCATTAAAATGCAAGCTCCATGAGGGCAGGGACTTATTGAATTATTGCATATATTAATAAAATTTTCCTGGCTATTTGAAAAACAAATAGCCAGTTGATAATACAGTCAGTTATGCTATAATGCTTGTTTCTAAAACAAGCATAATTCTAATGCAACTGAAATATTAGGAAACAGTTTGAGTATAACGTGAATTTTGCACTTGCTTAGCACTGTTGACTCAGTAGAAACACCAGGTGAACACATTACACTGCAGTCAGCTGATGGAGCCATGTAGGAATAAACAAAGAAGCAAATGTACACGCACCTTAAACATCTACCACCTACCTTGGCTCACCACATGTTATCCTGAAAGACTGTGTTTTGCTGTTCTTTGGCACTTGTGAACTTTCCTATACAAAAACAGTTATTCGGCATCCCAAGAATGTCTAAACATCTGGATTCAAAAGTGCCAAATAGCACATAACAAGAGAAAGCTTCAATACTGAAGAGAAACTTGAGATAAACATTTTTAAGGAGCTATGAGAATACGTGGTGTTTCCTGAGCTGCAGGAATAAGGGAGTGACCCACAATGTGGGTCAGGAGAGGCAATGCTGCAAAAATAAACATCTATGGCTGGAGTAACTTCAAGTCCTGCAAAGTCAATAGCAACAAGGCTGAAAGAAACAGAAGAAACGAAGAGATTGTTGAGCATGTGGATTGAGCACCAGTGAGTGATCTTTCTCATAATCAAAGAGAAAGCTTCCGTCTCTACATAAATGCCTTAAAGATATCAACACGCCCTGTGGAAGTGTTCTTTTTAGCTTTAGTAGTGGCTGGTTTGGTGGTTTCAAACATTGCTGACGCTGGTGTGTGGTCCACCTGGTTATTTAGTTAGAAAAAAAAAACTAGAAAAGTTATAGACAATTAGCTAGTGCACATGAACTTGTTAGATGTGTTTGCCAGGAAGGAACATGAGAACCTTAACTATCATGAACACAGAAAAAGGGAGTTAATTTGCTGAATGTAGGTCACTTGGAGGAGAGGGAAATGAAGGTGTCCACCCTTGACTCATATCAAGGAAAGACTGTTCAATGTGTCCTTGAGTCCATTTCTCCTGGCATGTTTCATCAGGAACCTCTGGTGAGGTTGTGACATAATAGCAGCTGATCCAGAGTAAACGGCGTCCTGCTAGCCCCTTTAGCCGTTTCTAGGGCATGGAGAAGTCAGAAGAACTTGAAGCCGAGCATGTGGATTGTTTACTTAAAGCAATCAAATGACAACCATGAGAAAGAGAGGTTTACTGCTCTTTTTTTCAAATCAAGAATTATAGAGTGTCGATGATTCAACATAGGAGCCACCCTTTTATCCCTCTATTGCTTGAAAAATTGTAATGTCATAAGAGGACATTTAAATTCATTGAATCATGATCTGAAAGGAAAGAACACAAGAATGCTATTGATTTACTCTAGTATATCCATGTTTAGATTTAAACTGTAAATGAATCTGTATGGTATGGTAGTTAAGAGAGCAGGTACTTGCATCTGCCTGCCTGGCAGTGAATCTGGGCTTTGTCATTTGTGTATCCTTAGGCAACCTACTTTATTCCCTATACCTCAGTTTTTCTCATCTGTAAAATGGGGACAATAAAACTACCTAGTTCAAAAATTTGTAAGGTTTAAATGACACAATATTTTAGGGTTCTTAAAAACATGGTAAGTAAATGCTCAGTAAATATTTGATGCTGGTCATAGTAGTAATAGTGGTATATGAGGATTAAGAAGATTGCATTTTCCATCACTCAACTCATCTGAACTTGGTAGGGTCACGCAATTCAAGAATTACAGAGCCATTTGTTTTGAGTACCTGTGGGCTGTCTTTTGCGTGTTAGT